AAAATATTTTTACGTTATCTTTCTTATTAAATTTATATTTGAAATTTTTATTTTTTTAATTTTCACGTTATTTTGCTATTTCTTTTCAAATTATTTTTTTATTTAAATCCTATTCTATCAAAAAAAGTTTATTTTATCTTTTTTTATTAAATTTTTTGAGTTGTTTTGAGATAAAAATGTTTGAAAGATAACCTTTAATTTAATTTTAAATCTAACGTTTAATTTAATTATTTTTAGACTTGATTTCATTCACATTTCAAGATTTATTTTTGGGTTCTTTGTTTTTCAGAAAATGGTAGTAAACATCATTTTTTTTTACATATGTTACAACCTACTTACTTAATCTCAGGAAATTTCGAAAAATTAAATTGGCCTGAGAAAATTTTTTTATGGTGGCATTTAAATGACATTATCGTTAAAAGGTCACTTGTTTTAAAGTTTTTTTACGTTACTGGGAAAACCCAATAATTTTTTTGGGTCTGCAATTCTTTCATTTCATTTCTGTGTTTCATCGTGTCTCAACAGGCTTTTAAAATTTGTTTTTGATAATTATTGTCAATGCTTTTCAATACCGTGAGTTAATAATTTTAGAAATATCATTGGAAAATTCGAAAACTTTCGAAAATCCGAAAAGTTAGCGCGTATGCTAGGCCACAAAAATCTATTATCCGGCCAAGCATAGACATAAATACAATATGAGAAAAGTGCATTTACATTTTTGAAGCGGACTAGGGTGTTCTTCCACAAGCTAAGCTATGTTTTCGTCAGTCTGAAACGTTTCGATCCTTCCTGTCCAGATAACGGAATATTGGCTATTTTCTAAGTACATATTACTGTACGCGTAAACAAACGTTGGCTGAAACGAAGAGCACGCTGAGAGTAAAATTTCCTTATTAAACGCTTGCTGTGACCCAAGAAATTAATTTAATATAAGCAGAAGGCTTTCTGCCTGGGAGACTAAAAAAGTCCTCAAGGCGCTGTCTGTTTGAAAATAATGGTTTCTTATATATATGTATATTGCATTTCAGTAAAAATGAAGACATCCAAAAAACTTTTTTGATATTAAAAATGCTCTCTACGTTACGTTTTTACTTGTGTAAATATATATATATATATATATATATATATATATATATATATATATATATATATATTGAATAATAAAATTAAAATCTTCAGACACACTGGGCTGTAGATTAATATTCTTTCGTTTTTATTACTATTATTTCATGTAGATTCCTCGGCAAGTTCGGCAAAAATGGCCATCATCAGGTGAAGAATATTTCTGCTTGCTGGTAGCAGTAAACTACAGAAATGAATGTCTTGATGGAGAAAATGAACTTTTGTCTGTAGTTTTCATTTGTTTTTTTTATTTTTTTTATCTTTTTAACATGAATCTTTTAACATTCCTTGTGTTGGTCAGTCTCTTTTAAATTGCTGGATGGATTTATGCTTCTCTGAATATATATATATATATATATATATATATATACAAATGAGAGAAAGAACAGATGGAGTAAAAATTTACTTTTTAAAAAAGTGCACAATACAAAGTAGAGCAATATTTATATATATATATATATATATATATATATATATATATATATATATATTATAATATTTTATTATTATAGATGATAATAAAAACATTGTACATCGATACACAAAAAGCTTACAATCATATTATTGAAACATGAAAGCTGTTGTTTTCTAAGGAGTTAGGTGACCAGATATAAGGGGGGAATGTGGTCGGTGAAATTGTCTGACAGTCATGACTGTGTTCTCCCTATTATGTGGCATGTTGCAGATTCCTATTCCCAAGCATAGTGTTTTCCAGCAGCCACCCTCTTGACCCAGAGCTGTACTACCTACACGAGGCTCTTGATGTTGGCCTCGGGCTTGAGTCTGAGTCGCTGTGATAAGATGAATAGAAGCATAACGTCGCCATCACTATAGATCACGCTTAGCATCATCGTAATTAGACTCATTCAACTCTTTTCCGATTTTTCGGTAGTGACCTCAGATTGACACCCAAAGACAACAAAATCAAAAACAAACAACGAAATGCACGAAATTAAAAATGCTATATATATATATATATATATATATATATATATATATATATATATATATATATATATATATATGAGGGAGGCTATATTTATGATCAACTGTACTTAACAGTGGACATTGAAATCAACATCCAACAGTCTGTCCTCTCTCTGTGTTGCCTTCAATATATATATATATATATATATATATATATATATATATAGACTCTTCTCTCCCGTCGAATTCGACGTATGAGGGTCAAACAGATCACTTCCAAGGAAACCGACAGCCCGACACCAGCACATGAGTTTTGATTATATTGCTGAAGGTTTTGTGCAGGACCATCCACACTTTTTGAAGAGCCGAATACAGAGACCCTGGTACACTATGTGCCACAAGGTCCTCAAACGACTCTCCGCAGGTTTTGAATTCAGAGTTTTCCTTCTCCTAGACCAGTTGCCATCCAAGGCTATATAACTCAGTCTGTCCTGCTATTTACCCATAGCTGGAGGGAGAAGAGGATTCACACCTTTCCCAATGGAATTAGCACGTAAGTGAATGCAATGGACTCGACTGGAATTCGAACATGGCTCTACGATTCCTTAATGCAAGCCGTTATAAATGTAGTTTATATATATATATATATATATATATATATATATATATATATATATATATATATATATATATATATATTCTTATTTCTTATTTTGTTAAAATATTTCAACCTTGAAAATAAATAAATGTATAGCTGAAAGAGCTTGGGTAAAAAAAACATTGGGCAGATTTTATAATATTATAATTTATTTATTTTTTATAAATTAATTTATTATCTGAAAACAAAAAAAATAGATCATATAAGAAATTGTATAAAAAACTAAATCAAAGCTCTTTGCCTGTCTTGTTCAATGAAATGTGCACACACACACACACACACACACACACACACATATATATATATATATATATATGATAGACATCTTCTGTTTTTTAGATTTGTGTCGTATTTGACACTTGATACCCATATAAAGTTCTCCACTGCATTAACCGGGTATTGAATTCACACTCTTTGGGTCCTGTAACAGGATCTAACCAACGCTTTTATCCACTGTGCTATGTGTCCTTGAGGACAGAGGGAAATTAACAAGAGATAACTGATAACTGACATCCATTAAACATGGCACGTGGAACTAGAACAGTCTACCCCAGTGAGCAAAATAAAGGGTTCAGTTCGACATTCCAACCACCTGAAGAAGGCCGGAGCGTACAACGGCCGAAATTTTGTAATGAATATGGCGACAAAGATGAGAACAATAGTCCGAATAATTTAAATAATATACATCTTATCCGTTTAAATGGTGTTTTAGTGGATGCCCATATTTGAGTAGACGCTCCGTTTATTTTCAATGGTATTTTATTTTATCTACCGGCCTGAATGTTCGAGAAAATTTAATAAAGAGCAATGGGGGGGTATTTTTCTATATTAGGTTTTTTTTTCCTTTTTTTTTATTCTCATCATCATTTTTCTTTCATTCTTTTCTTCTTTCCCTCCTACTCGCTTTATATTCCTTTGCTTTCCTTTTTTATTTATTTTCCTGCTTTTTTTTATATTTATCTCATCATTTATTCCTTTCTTTACTTCTCTATTTCTTTCTCTAATTATTCTTTCCTTGTTTTTATTTCTGTGTTTCCTTCTTTTTTAATCTTTCTATATCTTGTTTCCTTATTTCTTTATTTTCTTGCTTTCTTTCTTATTTTCCATACATTTTCTTTCTTTCTTTCTTTCTTTGTCATCTTCTCATGCACTTTCTTTCTTTCTTTCTTTCTTTCTTTCTTTCCATACACTTTATTTCTTTCTTTTTTCTTCTTGCTATGCTCTTTCTTTCTTTTTATCTTTCTTCCTTTCTTTCTTTCTTTCTTTCTTTCTTTCTTTCTTTCTTTCTTTCTTGCCATCCTCTTTCTTTCTTATTTTTCATCTTCCCTTGTTCTTTCTTTCTTTCTTTCTTTCTTTGTCATCTTCTCATGCATTTTCTTTCTTTCTTTCTTTCTTTCTTTCTTTCTTTCTATACACTTTATTTCTTTCTTTCTTTTTTCTTCTTGCTATGCTCTTTCTTTCTTTTTATCTTTCTTTCTTTCTTTCTTTCTTTCTTGCCATCCTCTTTCTTTCTTATTTTTCATCTTCCCTTGTTCTTTCTTTCTTTCTTTCTTTCTTTCTTTCTTTCTTTCTTTCAATACAATTTCTTTCTTTATGTCTTTCTTTCTTTTTTCATCTTCCCATGCTCTTTCTTTTACTTCTTTCTTTCTTTCTTTCTTTCTTTCTTTCTTTCTTTCTTTCTTTCTATAATTTCATTCCTTCTTTCTTCCTTTACTTCTTTTTTCTTTATTTTGTTCATTCTTTTATCTTTCCGTATTGCTTCTCTCATTCTTGGTTTTATTTATTTCTTTCTTTCATTTTTTCATACATTTCTTTCGTTCTTTCTTTTAATTCTTTCTTTTATATTTCAATACTATTTTTTCTTTCTTTCTTTCTTTCATTTCTTTCTTTCTTTCTTTCTTCCATCTTTCCATACTTTTTCGTTCTTTCTTTCTTTTTTTGTTTCCTTCTAATTTCATTTTTCCATACTCTTTCTTTTTTTATTTCCTTCTTTCTTTCATCTTTCCACAGTCTTTGATTGTTTCTTTCTTTCTTTCTTTACATATTGTTTCTTTCTTTTCTGTCTTCCTTTCATCTTTCCATATTCTTTCTTTATTTATTTTTTCTAGCTCTTTCTTCAAGCTTTCTTTCTTTCTTCCTTTTCATACTCTTTCTTTCTTTCTTTCTTTCTTTCTTTCTTTCTTTCTTTCTTTCTTTCTTTCTTTCTAGCATTTCTTTATCATCTTCCCAAGCTCTTTCTTTCTTTTATTTATTTATTTTTTCCTTTCCATAATCTTTCTTTTTTCATCTTCTCATGCTCATTCTTTCTTTTCTTTTCTTTCTTTCTTTCTTTCTTTCTTTCTTTATTTCTTTCTTTATTTCCTTACTCTTTCTTTCTTTTTTTCATCTGTTTATGCTCTTTCTTTCTTTTATTTATTTTTTTATTTATTTATTTATTTATTTATTTATTTATTTATTACTTTCCATACTCTTTCCTTCTTTTCTCAACGTCCCATACTCTTTCTTTCTTTCTTTCTTTCTTTCTTTCTTTTTCACCTTCCGATGCTCATTCTTTCCTTTATATCTTTCTTTCTTTTTTATCTTTCTGTCTTTCTTACTTTCTATACTCTTTCTTTCTTTCTTTTTTTCATCTTCCCAGGCTATTTCTTTCTTTCTTTTTTTCTTCCTTTCCATACTCTTTCTTTCTTTCTTTCTTTCTTTCTTTCTTTCTTTCTTTCTTTCTTTCTTTGTTTGTCATCTTCCCATGCTCTTTCTTTTTTTATTTCTTTCTTTCTTTTTTCCTTTCCATAATCTTCCTTTCTTACTTATTCTTCTTCCCATGATCTTTCTTTCTTTTCTTTCTTTCTTTCTTTCTTTCTTTCTTTCTTTGAATACTCTTTCTTTCTTTATGTCTTTCTTTCTTTATGTCTTTCCTTCTTTTTTCATTTTCCCATGCTCTTTCTTTCTTTCTTTCTTTCTTTCTATTTATTCATTCATTCTTTCCTTCTTTCGTTTCCTCCTTTTTTCCTTTCTTTCCTCCTTTCTTACATCTTTCCATAGTCTTTCTTTCTTTTTTCTTTCTTTCTTTCTTTCTTTCTTTCTTTCTTTTTTCTTTCTTTCATTCTTTTTTCTTTCTTTCTTTCTTTCCATACTCTTTTTTCTTTTTATTTATTCATTCATTTTTTCCTTCTTTCTGTTCCTTCTTTCTTTCCTCCTTTCTTACATCATTCCATAGTCTTTCTTTCTTTTTTTATTTACTTCTTTTTTTTTCATTTTTGCCACTTTCCTTTTATATTTCTTTTCTTTATTTCTTTCTTTTCCGTTCTTTGCTCCTTTTTCTTCCTTCCTCTCCTTCTTTCTTTCTTTCTTTCTTTCATTTCCTTCTTTCTTTTCTCTTGCATAATTTAAATATTTCGTTCTCACCTTCTGTATTTCCATTTTTTTTTTTCCTTTTCTTCTTTAATTTAATTTAATTTGATTTTACTTTATATGACTTCGTTCTTTTTTATCTTTTGGTTTTTACTTTCAGTCATCTTTTTAAAACCTTTTCTTTTATTTTTCGCAAATTCTCGAGCGTGCCTAAGTCGAAATATAAAAAAAAATGGAAGATACATCAAAATATGAGATGGTCTGTGGAAATATGTGACAATTCAACGAAATATGATACTGAAATTTTAACAACTGATGATTAAAAACAAAAGAACTTTATCGAAGAAAAATGGTGGCAAATTTTTCACGAAAGATTTTCAAATTTTCTTAACGATTTCTTTGTTCAAACATCGCGCAAAAATTGTTTCCTTCTGTAATGTCAAATAAATCGATTGAATGGTTAGCGGAATTAAATAAATTATTTATGCCGAGAAACTGACTTCTGCAAAGGAGATTTATCGGTGTTCAGGAAATGGAGATATCAATGGAAATGTGATACGTCCCAAAGAAAATATGGTAAGATCCATGGAGATATGGAATGTTCCAAAGAACGCATGGACTGACCCATTTTAAAATAATGGAATAATGCATAGTAAACAAATAATAAAAGTATTTTATAATAATAAGATTTCGGAACGTTTCTGTGTGTGTTACGGTAGCGCATCAATGGCACATCATAGCGCAGTTGTCTTAGAGCAAAACTGCGAAATCATATTAAACTGGGAAATAAAACAATTATCTTTTTTCTTTCTTTCTTTCTTTCTTTCTTTCTTGCCGTTCCATACGTTTTTTTTTTAATTCCGAATATTGGAGGAGGTATGAAAAAATACGACTTTAACAAAAATCTAAAAACAATTACTTTAGCAATAATAGAAACTCACACTTTCTATAAAATATATAAGGAATATAGCAGTACAGGAGTGTATATAGCAAAGAAATGCAGTCATAAAAAGTTGTAAGATGAAATAAAACAGAAAACGTATCATGAAAGCCCAAACGTTCACTACAGACGTATATAATAAGAACATTTAATACTTTGTTATACCTGAACGTACCTATTCTATTATTAATAGACTCTCCCACAGATAATAAGTAGTAGTATCACAACTAGATTGCTGCGTCATTAACTCTTATTTCAAGTTCCTAACGTTTTGTACGTCGAACCTAATTTAGGACGACTTATTGAATTACAAGCCTTCACTGTGAAAACTACTCTACAACATACTTTAATACGAAAAAGATCCCCACTTTAGAACAAAAGAAACACCTATGTTATTTACATTGTTCTGACTATCGTCCTCATCTTTGTTGCCATATTTATCACAAAGTTTTAGCGGTTGTAGGTTCCAACATTCTTCATCTGGTTCGAATGTCGAACTGAACCCTTATTCTCACTCGCTGGGTACACTGTTCTAGTTTCATGTTCCATGTCTAACGGATGTCAGTTATCTTCTGTTAATTCCCTCTCCAAGTGCTCCCCTGCCTTAACCAGATATTGAACTCACACTCATTGGCTCCTGTCATTGGATCTAACTAACGCCTTTATCCACTGTGCCATATGTCCTTGAGGACACATGGCACAGTGGACAAAGAGCAGCACAATATTATTGGATAAAGACAGAGCAAACTTATTATTAATTAAAGAATATCAAACACTTAAAACTCCATCGGTGATAATCTTAATTTCATGAGACCTTTAAAAAAAAGCAGCTCTCAATCTTCAAGACCTTCAAATAAATCACAAATGAAATGGAAAAAATATTCCGGGTTAAATCAAGCGATATTGCTATTTTATTTTGTTGTGTATGATACACCTAATTTACATAAGCGGACTACCGACCATATAAATATGGGTTGGTACCGGAAGACGGGGAAGATAGTAGAGATTAAGAAATTGAATCCAGAGACTCTGCCCGACTGCGATTTAGTCAACCCATTATGCAGGAACAGTCTTCCCAAGAATATACCAAACTAACTGTAAATATTGTGTACCTATTCTTTGTTTCAATACATTTTGTTAACGTACATTTTGTGTTGTATTATTCCATGCTTATTTAAGCTTCAACATATTTAGATAGTAGGAAAAGGTAGACAGAGAACTAACTTCATTTTAAGGCCCTCCACCATCCTTAAGCCCTTCCGCCATTCTCAAATGATCTACGCAGGTCAGTATATCAAAGTAGCTCAAAACTCTATGCCTTTTCCACACTCTAAATAATATATCTCTTGATTAAACCCGGAATAATTTCCCATTTGTCGGCATTAAATAACACACTAAAGTGTTGATATTCCGTAAAACAAAATAATTCCAAACCCTGATCTACAAACTGATTTTTTACAAAGAATACATATTCTAGTCTTACGAAGCGATCCTAAACATCTTGTCGTCATTAAATAACCCATTGACGTGTTGATAAGCCGTAGAACAAAATAAACCCAAACCCAGAAATACAAACTGATTTATTACAAAGAATAGACATATTTTCTATTTCTTCTCGGCATTAAATAACGAACTAAGTAATCCTAAAACATCCTGTCGGCATTAAACTATTTCTTATAAAGAATACATATTTTATTTATACGAAGTAATCCTAAACATCCTGTCGGCATTAAACTATGAATAAGATATATATATAATGGTAATCAAAACAAAAATAACCCCAAACCCTGATCTACAAACTGATTACTTACAAAGAATACATATTCTATTCATACGAACCTAAATTAAAAATCTTGTTGGCATCAAATAACCTATTGCGGTTGATATGCGATAGAACAAAATGAACCTAAACCCTGAAATACAAACTTATTTCATACAAAGAATACATATTCTATTCATACTATCCTATCCTAAAAATCTCGTCCGCATTAAATAACCCATAGATGTGTTGATATGCCATAGAACAAAATAAACCCAAACCCCGACCTACAAACAGATTTCTTACAAAGAATACATATTTTATTCAGCCGAACCTATCCTAAAAATCTTGTTGGCATTAAATAACTCATTGAGGTTGATATGCCGTACAACAAAATAAATCATATCAATTTAAACCAAAGAATACATATTCTATTCATACGAATCTATCCTTAAAATGTTGTCGGCATGAAATAACCCATTGAGGTTGATATGCCTTAATACAAAATAAGCTAAACCAATCTAAACCAAAGAATACATATTTTATTCATACGAATCTATCCTAAAAATGTTGTCGGCATTAAATAAACCATTGAGGTTGATATGCCTTAAAACAAAATAGATCAAACCAATCTAAACCAAAGAATACATATTCTATTCATACGAATCTATCCTAAAAATGTTGTCGGCATTAAATAACCCATTTAGGTTGATATGCCGGTAAACAAAATAAACTAAACCAATCTAAACCAAAGAATACATATTCTGTTCATACGAATCTATCCTAAAAATGTTGTCGGCATTAAATAACCCATTGAGGTTGATATGCCGTAAAACAAAATAAACTAAACCAATCTAAACCAAAGAATACATATTCTATTCATACGAATCTATCCTAAAAATGTTGTCGGCATTAAATAACCCATTGAGGTTGATATACCGTAAAACAAAATAAACCAAACCAATCTAAACCAAAGAATACATATTCTATTCATACGAATCGATCCTAAAATCTTGTTGGCATTATATAACCCATTGAGGTGTTGATATACCGTAAAACAAAACCACGTAGATAAGCTATTTAAAAAATTACTGAACCGAAAGTGTATGTCTGCAAAGTAGATTTTATTAAATAAAACGCATAAGATAAATCTCCAACGTGTTCCGACAGTTGCATTACCATCGATAGTCTTGTAAATTTTATATTTATTTACTAAATGGAAGCATTTTTCTGTATATGTGACAATATATTATTAAGACATTTTATTGGTCGAAGAGACCGGGTAGAAATGGGAACCTACTGCGGAAAAAAATCTGCCTCGTCAGTCATGTATCGAAAGACACATGATCGCCTAAGCGTGTGTCACGCATGGTACATAACTGACTTATTGGTCGAATTATGGAAGATGATGTCCTGCAAATATTCCCTTATTCCTATAGAACACCGTGTACTTTATGTCCTATTTTAGCGTTGAAAGTTCATGTCTTTTCTTCAAGTAAATTCAACTGTCTCACTCACTACCAGAAACTAAATTTTATCAGTGTCTTAGAATTCAAAATGGCGAACTAAATCTTGTTTACGATAGAGTATTTACTTTCTGATAATGATCAATATGGTTGAAAGAAACCCATCAACATGAAAAGAAAAAACATAAAGCCGTGACGAGTTTTTTATATGTTTACAAGCGCTTTCTTTTCACTTTGCATTTCACAAATCGTCTTTGCCATGTTGTTACGATGATGGACTAAACTTTCAGTTGTCAGAAAAAATGCTTATCATTTAATCGAATCTATACGTAGTCGACTTAAATGAATGTTCTTTCTCTACGAGTTAACGTTTATAAGCTACATCTTGCTTTCGTTGCAGATGAAATTGCAACATCTGAACTATATCTGTCTATACACAAAATATTCAAAGACAAAAACACAACGCACATGAGTATACACACACACATTATATTAATAGTATTCACTTGGATTATATACAAACGAATTATTACCTGTATATATATATATATATATATATATATATATATATATATATATATATATATATATATATATATATATATATATATATATATTGTGTATTTAGGCAGCATCTTTTCATTCATACACGTTTCATTAAATAATATAGACACGTATAGTCTATTTATTTTATTTTTTTT